TCTGATTGACAATGTAGCAAAGCGAAGGACAAAATTTGCAGGAAGTCAGTGTCATAACCAGTGAATCTATTATTACTATCATGACTTCTCGAAAAGAAGTAGAACGAAATAAATTTACTTGCTTTTTCACAAGTCTGTAACTTTGTTTCAAAGACGACGTTTGAGCAAAATTGAAATTATCGGCACATAAAGAATTGGGTATGGAGAAGAAACGGGTGCCGAATTCCGAGGAACCGCTTTAAGATCGGACATATAACTTGGCAGTACAATGTGAAGCGAAATCGCAAATTAAATGTGCACGTTCGTAAGATAAAAGGACCACGGAATAGGTAAAGTGAGACACTTCTCTGAGTCGAGTAAGTCGAAGTTAATGTGTTTTCGATTTGCGAATTTTCAATGAATACTATGCAAACAAAACGTGCTCATAATTAACTGTCTCAGATGGGCGCGTTAGCGGTTAGCAATTAGTTTTCATTTCCATTATACATACGAAAAACTGATTACAATCAGTTATTCATTTATATTAGAAATACAACGGTGTAAATTTCCTTTAACATAGATGTCCTTGCTAAATTTTAAGAGAATAACGTATTTTTCGGTGTTATTTTGCCAAGGTGGTCCGGGTTCTCTTTGGCTAAAATTAGAATGACGTTAGAGACAAGCCAAAAATTTGATATGCAATTTGCAATGACTTGCCATCTGGTATCGTCCACAAAGTTTATCAGAAGGCAGAGTTTTCCTTTATTATCCTCCTTCTCAAATATGAATGTTGTTTTGAGAAATATTGGCGATGTTTTGAATTACGCTAATCAAAGTTCAATAACATAAATAGCCCTGACAATTTGAAAATTTTCTTTCGCGGCCTTATTAAAAATAAAACAAACCAACACCTTTAACAAAATGTATCCCTGATTTAAAGAAAAAAACAGTGTCTTCGCTTCAATAATAGAAGTGTCTTTTATAGGGTTTTTGAAGAAGAATAAAAAGCCTCTGAAGGTGAAAGCGAAAGCTGGGTTTTAAATGAACGTGTAGGAGCTGAAATAACAAAAAGAGTTCAACACATGATATAATCGTATGCAGCCCAATTAGGTGGATTCTAACTTTTAAGTCTGTTGATGATAAAACCATTAAATTAACATGTGTACTATAATTGTGCTTTTAAGCGATTCACAATCGAGAGTTAGGTCAAAGACGAAGTTATTTACGACAGCAGTTCTTAACCCGTATTCTTACAATAGCATATGCAGGGTTTTTTTTTTTTTGGCGATAACTTCGCGACTTAATACATCTTTAAAAGGTATACTTCGCTCGTAACACTGCCGGAGTGGATAGATATAGAAGTATACCGTTTCGTTATAAGGCCTGCGGAGAGAAATTTTTCGAAATAAAAGGTTGAATGGCGAATGGAATCATTTAACAGGAAATATTAAAATTAAAGCCAGGAGTTCGACGTTTCGACGCATAAAGCCTTATCATGTTATCAAGAATGAAAAATCGTAAATGTCAAAGTTGTCAAAAGAGTTGAGACTGGAATATCATTAAATGGCATGGTACCATTAACAACTTTGACATTTACGATGATGAAGCTCGATACATCGAACTACGTTAAGGGGGTTTAAAATTTCTTTTTCAATGCTTTAACCCTTTGAATACCAACTACGCATATATGCGTAATTGTAATTAATGCATATATGC